GAATTGACAAAAAGATTCCCAGAGCTAATAAGTGATTATAGTAAGGTTACAGGTTAATATATTAAAAAGTCATTCATTTTCAAATATATCAACAACAAATAAGCAGAATTTGAAAGTAAAATCACATATCATTTACATTATCCATCTTTAAAAGAAATACATATATACATATCTACAGAGATACAGCTGTATAGCTATCTATATCTGTATCATAGATATATTTATATAGGTATATCTATAGATATCTATATCCATAGCTATAGATAAACATCTATATATATCTCTAGATGTAGATATACAGATATATCTATATATGTATTTTATTTAAATGAGGGGTAATATCTATATAGATAGATATATAAACTTACAGGTTGAGAATTGCAAAACTGATTGAAAACAAAAACAAATGAACTAAATATGGAGAGATATCCCATGATAATATGTAGAATCATCCACTATTGTCAAGATGTAAATTCTTCCCAATTAGATCTGTAGATTCACTGCAATGACAATGAAGGTCCCAGCAAGTTACTTTGTAGATAGCAACACACTGATTCTAAAACTTACATATGGAACAGATAAATCTGGAGAGACAAAAGGCCCAGAATAGTCAGCACAATACTGAAGAAAAGTGCGAGGATTGGTACTGATTTGAATACGGAATGTGAAAGTATGCTAATTGAGACACTGTGATAATGACAGAAGTATGTAAATCTCTCCGTAGAACAGTCTCAGGCAGCTCCACAAACATAAATCAATCTCTGAAAAAGCAACAAACATCCTGTTTTTAACAAACAGTGCAGGAACAACTGAACATCACTCCAAAAAATGAATCTAGACATATCTTATTACACCCCCCCCCCCACACACACACAGCCAAATCAACTCAACGTCTTAAAGATCTAAGTGTAAGATACATAAAATGCCCCGAGGACAGTACAGGAGAGAAATCTAGATGATTTGGGATTTGGTGATGAGTTTTTTTATTTTAGTTTGACACCAGAGACACAATCCATCATCAACAGAATGAAGAAACAATAAGAGACAGGGAGAAAATACTTGGGAAGGAGACATAAAAAACAAAACAAAACTAAGAACTTAGAGAGAAAACTCTAGTTAAAAACACAGACCAAAGACCTTAACAGATACTTCATTGAAGACGAGGAGCTAAACAGATGAAAAGATGCTTCACATAATGTATCTTTGAGGAAAGGATAATTAAAATAACAATGAGATATCCTATACCCCCTATTAGAATTATGGCTAAAATTTCAAACTGACCTTACCAGGTCTTCGCATTGTGCTAAAATCAGGCAGCATCAACTCTGTGGTCTCACTGCTGGCAGAATTTGCTGCCACGGACTTCCGTGGGACGAGTGAGAGTCCCAACCTTTAAACAGTTGCCTAGTTGTTTAGAATATGAATATGCCAGAATATATTTATCCAATGCCCAGTTATGTAAACATTAGTTTTATTTCCAATCTTTTGTAGTTAGGGGGATACAGTGAAGGGTACTGGCACATGTGTCCTTTTTCAGCTTTCTATAGAAGAACTCCCTAAAAAAGGAGTAGTGGGGGGAAGGTGTGCACATTTGAAATCTTACTACTCCTTGTTCAGTTGCTTTCTGTAGTTGGTTCCATTTTACCTTCTCCTCAGAAGCTTGTGTGATCTTCCTTGTAGTATGCTGTTTGGACATTTGTATCTTTTAATCAGACAAATGAAAAATGGTTTGTCATTTTCAATCTTACATCTTGCAGATTTTTAAGATATTCTGAAGCTTTGCAAATCTTTTGTCTTTAATGTTCTAAAAATAGTTCTTTTAGTATGGGGTGTTTGTTCATCAGTTGTGAAGGGCACTTTATATGCCCTTTCAATCAGAATACTATTCTTTGGTCTTAGTGCATCAATTCCAGCTCTCTTCGTTTCTTTCCTTTCTGTTTTCCATTATTTCAGTTTCTAGAACTCTTGTCTGTTCATCTCTCTATTCATTTTCTTTGTGGTTTTGTTTTTACTTTGTCTTCTTTTATTAAAAAACTATCAGTAATGGTGCATATATTCCACTTTCACTTGTCAACCCCATAGTGTCCAACACCAAGAGAAAATTCTACTGCCAATGTGGTCTTGAGTGGTAAAGTTGCCAATGATGTAACATGCCATCAGTGTAGCTGTGAACCTCTGATGGGGGTGTCAGTAGTGCCCTGTGTGCTTGTGAACCTAAAACTACTCTTTTAAGTAATTTTTTTTGGGGGGTACAGTCATAAGGTCTGAACTCGGGACCTGGGTGCTGTCCCTTAGCATTTTTGCTCAAGGATAGCACTCTACCAGCTTGAGCCATAGCTCCACTTTTGACTTCTTTGGTGTTTAATTGGAGACAAGAGTCTGTCAGACTATCCTGCCTGGTCTGTCTTTGAACCATGATCCTCAGATCTTAGCCTTCTGGTAGCTAGGATGACAGGTGTGAGCGAGCCACCAGCACTCAGCAAAACACTATTCTAAGTAAAAAATTTTAAGGGAAACATTTGTTCAAAACTCAGTCCCACAAAAATTTTGGAAATCATGTTAAATTTCCAAGCTACCCCATTTTCTAAATTCTCTGTGTGTGTGTGTGTGTGTGTGTGTGTGTGTGTGTGTGTGTGTGTGAGAGAGAGAGAGAGAGAGAGAGAGAGAGAGAGAGAGAGAGAGAGAGAGAGAAGTGGCAGAAAGAGACAGATGGATATAGCTTCTTGAATATCTCCAAGTGCACTAGTAGAAATTTCTAGAAGATCTTTTTCTGTACCTGACATCTCCATCTCTTATGGTGTTTGCCTGTTTATCTTAGTCTTATAGGCTGCCAGAGGGGCAACAAAAAGCTGCTTTGGAGCTCTGCCCGCTGGTGCACTGCTGGGACAGAGCTGGCAGGGAGCCGCTGTTAGGCTGGGAAGCCTCACTTCCTGCAGGTGGAAGCGTACTGTTGGGCACCCGCACTTACTGTGTCTCTTCTGATTCCCTGATTTGTTTCCTTTCTCTTTGACCTCTTGCTTCTGAAGAGTTGTATACACACTTGGACACTAGGTGTGTTCAGGGTAGAGGGATTTTTGAAGGAGCTGTCAACCCATCCCTGTGTGACTATATCATTTCATTTGTTCTGGGCTTTGAGTTCAGTCCCATCCTGAGGAGCAGCATACTTCTTAGTCTAGAGCCTTCCGCTGCTAAGCAAGGCATGTTGGCCTCTCCACCGGCCCCTGCCGCCTTTGCGTCACCTCTGCTCTGGAACTCTCGTCTAGCACTGCCTCCTCCCACATGCTCTGCTGTGGGGCTCCTGTCTTCAACCTCTTGTACTGAAATGGAGATTCAAAAGGAGAAGAATCACATGGTATCTCACTCTCTTTACCCAAAAGACTGCTTCAAATTGTATTTTCCACTTGACACCTCCACCCCAATCTGTTATCCATTCCTTATTTTGTGTCTAGTCATTGATGTTTGACCTGGCCAGTGATTTTGTAATCGTAGAGAGCTCAGGACTTACGAGTGGTGGAATTCGCAACCCTGCAAGCCCTGACTTAGCCGTTCCTGTTGCGTGCTGCTGTTTCTTCATCTCCTCTCTCAAGTCTGTTCGGAGGTCACAATTCTGCCTGTTTTGGACAGAGGAAAAATTTCTTTCATCTCGGTTTATTCTCACGAGCTGAACTTTATCCTTAAGTTTTGTCACCCACACTTAAGCAGAATAAAAATTTTATATCATTGAAATGGTTGTGGAATATAGTTTAGATGTTTCTGACAGATCTGCCCTGGAGAGGTAGGTGGTTGCTTTTTGGCGAAAATCTTCATGACAAAGAATAGTGACAGAATATTTGCCAGTCATTTTTTGTTTGGCTCCCTTCTTCTCTCCTTTTTTCCCTTCCTCCATCTCTCCTTCCCTCCCTAGCATATATTACTTGTACAAGGAGGATTTCCTTGTGATATTTCCACACATGTATTCATTGTCTCCTGATTAACTTCACCTTTGGACCATAGTCATCTTTATTTACCCTAATTGTAGCTAGTACTGCTAATATTCCTCTGTACCTCAACAGAGACTGTTGTACTTTCTTGTTAGGTATATTTGGTTTTACTGTGTAATAATTGCACCAAGGGATTTCACCATATTTCAGACATACATATATTTTTCTCAGAATAACCTCTATATTTGCTGTCTCTTTCCCTGTCCCCAAACCCCTATTGATCAACAACTTTCACTGAGATTTCTTATGACATCTTCATATTTAGTTGCACTGTATTTAAAAATTATTCACCCTACATCAATCTTTTCATCCCTCCTTCCCCTCATCCATTTAAACAATCCCAGAACTAGGAGTCATGTTCTATATATGTATGTGTATGTATGTATGTATTATACATACATGTCCATGAATATGTATGTCTTTTAGGATTAGCTTCCACATATGAGTTAAAACATATGATTTTGCTTTTTTAAGTTTGGTTTATCTCCTTCATTCATTGCTTTTGTTATTTTTCTATTTTGTTCTATTTTGTTTTGTGTGTGGACCCCCTCTACTCCCCAAAAGTAATACTGGACTCCAGATCTAAATTCATCAGGTATTTAAATAATTTCTACAAAATTTCTAGGAAAAACTAATGAGGAACTTTAAAAATGAATATAATACAAAGAAATTTGAAATCATTCTTTTCCATCCTTCTTGTTTTTAGTTGCTAAGATTATATTTCATAAGTTATGTGGTGGTTGAGTGATTCATTTTCATTTTAAAATGGTGATGGTTGCAAATGTTCTGAAATAGAGTAATTATAATTACTTTTATTCAAATACTGAATATGAGAATAAATATATAATCATCTCATTTGTCAGTGGTTAGGAAGACCGCACTGTGCATACACAAGACTTAATGGCAGTTATATTTCATTTCCTTGAGATCTTCCACAGAACCATAAAGGCTATTATGGTTACTTAAGAAAACATGTTTTAGATACACATAAAAATTGTATCTTCTCTTTTCAAAAAATAGGAACAGATGTCTCAAGTATTAGATGCCATGTTTGAAAAGTTGGTCAAAGAGGGAGAACATGTGATTGATCAAGGTGATGATGGGGACAACTTTTACGTAATTGATAGGTAAGTTTTGTCCACCCTCACTACTGGCTTTACAGGCGCTTTTGTGTATGATCTTCGTGGTTACAAGTACTGTCAATCTGATCTCTGCTGTTGCTTCTTACTCTTAATGCTACATAACAGGCACTGTAAATATATTGTGAATACAGGTGGTAAGACCAGACTGGATCTTGCAAAGAGGCGTAGTTTATTTAAAAAAAAAAAAAAAAGCTGCGGTCTGGGTTAGTCTATTAATCCCAGTTATTAAGATGAGCCTCCTCATTTGCCAACTTCTGCTTGAACTTGAAAGCCAAAGTGAGATATAACACTAGAATATTGTCCCAGTAGAACTCAATCTGTGCATTCATCCTTTTCAAAGCTCGTGCTTAAAAGAGCTCATATATTTCAGAGGGTCTCAAGGAAAAAGCCAGTCAGTTCCCCTCCTGCTTCGGCCTCATCCCATGTCAGCAGTGTGAGCAGTTTGTTATTATATTTTATATCATATTTATATTGTATTATTAAATTTGTCTTGTAAAGTCTAGAAATCTTATTAAATGGCACACAAATCATATTGAAAATCTAATTTCAGGAAACTTCCATTATACTTTAATTCATCAAGAACAATGTGTCTTTTCTAATCAATAGATGAGTTCTAAAACAGAACAGGGAGTACTATACACTGAGGATTTATTCTTAATGTAATTGAGAGTTGTGATTTGGGTTATTAACAACTTTCATCAATGCAGCAGCTAAAATTTCACCCAGATGTTTGTGTTTAATTGTAGGGAACCAGATATGATACCATATTACACTTGTTAAGTGGGTATTTTTGAATAAAAATCTGTGTTAAATAAATAGTATATTCTCTTTCAGTTAGACTCTACCCATAGGTACACAGAAGTGACAAGACCTGGTTAAGGCCACCCAGACAGTCAGTGTAGAGCTCACCTCTTAGTCCAAGTCTCCTAGCATCCAGTCAGGCTCTGTCCATGGTAATACACTGCCTGAGGCTTCCCATGATCAAAGAAGACATCTATATAAAAAGCAGCGCAGGGTATTCTAATAGACTTTAGACTGACAACGTTTTAGCTCAACTTTTTTTTAAAAATTACTTTGTGTATTAGTTTTGTGAACAAAATGACATGTTTTATTCTATTCAAAGTGGTCAATGTAGAAAACCATTTCAATGCAAAAATGTAAGTATGTAAAATGGAAGAATTAATTTAATCTGTACTTGAAAAATAACTATTGGACAAAGTCTAGGTAGCAGCCTTGAAATAGTCAATCTATGAATTATATTAAAAGCCCATACTTTGCCTCTTTATTCATGACTCTCGTGTCTGCAGGCTTCTGCTGTGTTTCTTTACCATTCCTAATCCCTGTCTAGTCCTCAAACCTACTCCTTTTTTTGGCTGCCACCTCTTCTGTCTGATAGGTTTAGCTCTTGTCTACCAGTACTCAGACCTGTGAGTGATCTTTTTGTAAGAGAGATAGTTATACAAGCATATGGCCTAGGAAAGCTGGACTGTAGTTACAAGCAGAATCTTTTGTGTGTGTGTCGGTCATGGGGCTTGAACTCTGGGCTTGGGCACTGTCCCTCAGCTTTACAGCTCAAGGCAAGCGCTCTACCACTTGAGCCACAGCATCACTTCCGGTTTTCTGGTAGTTTATTGGAGATAGGAATCTCATGGACTTTCCTGCCCTGGCTGGATTTGAACCATGATCCTTAGATCTCAGCCTCTTAAGTAGCTAGGATTACAGATGTGAGCCACCAGTGCCTGGCCAGAGTTATTTTTGCCTAGAAGAAAACCCAAAATATAAGTATAGAAAACTATTTAAAAAAAAACAAACAGGGTCAGACATTCTGGGTCTAAGGTAAAGGGTTAGAGAATAAATATTTAGGTCTTGTGGTCCTGCCTATAGGGCTCTGTTGCAGCAATTATTCAATTGTGTGTTTGTAGCTAACACCAGTCACAGAAAATGCATAAAGCCACACATTTATTTAATACTCCAACAGAACTTTATTTACAGATGCAAGCATCTAGGATGGGGTCCAGCCCATGTCCCTAGTGAGTTATCTGGAGTGGTGACTAATTGAGTTGTTACAGCTTTATTCTCTTAAAAAAAGCCATTTTCTGTCTTCACAAAGATAAAACATGTTCACTTTAGAAACATCGGCACCTACATTACATGGTAAATATCCTTTTAGTCCCTCATTGTTCTTATTGTATTCCTTCAGAAGACTTCCTCTTTGGTTGTAGCCTCAGATTTTCATCCTTTATTTGACCTTAAATTGTGATCGATTAGTTCCATTTTCCCCAGCAGAGCACGCATGCCCCTCCTCTAGCCTAGTTGGTGTTCTCCACAGATCTACACATCCCCAGCCTTTTATTACTTGCTAGCAGTGGGGAGGGATAGGCTCTTCTCTGAAATAATGCTCCATTGTAATTAGATTTTGCTTGAATTTCTTTTGCCTCTAATTTCTATATGTCCAACAGAGGAACATTTGATATTTATGTAAAATGTGATGGTGTTGGAAGATGTGTTGGTAACTATGATAATCGTGGGAGTTTTGGTGAACTGGCCTTAATGTACAATACACCCAGAGCAGCTACAATCACGGCTACCTCTCCCGGTGCTCTGTGGGGTTTGGTGAGTATATGTTAATTTGATCTGAATCTCATTATTTATAAGAACCATTATGACAATACACATGTAGATAGTGAATTTACTTGTAATATGTAGATTTATTTGGAAACATCAGTCATTAGGGAATTTATTAAGCAACTGATAGATGCTGAACATTTGGTCGCTAAGACTTTGCTAAGTCCAAGTTTTCATAGCCTTTCATCCAATCAAGAGCATGGGATCTCTTGACCCTGGGGTATGAGGCCAGATCCAAAATGTTCCTTATCCACTCTTTAAAACCACACACTCAGGCTGGGTGGTAGCTCATGCCTGTAATCCTACTCAGGAGGCTTGAGATCTGAGGATTGTAGTTTGAAGCCAGCCCAGGCAGGAAAGTCTGTGAGACATTTCCAATTAAGTTCCCAAAGAAGCCAGAAACGGAATTGTGACTCAAGTGGTAGAGCAAAATAACCTCAGGGACAGTGCCCAGGCCCTAAGTTCAAGCCTCAGAACCAGCACAAAACAAACAGAAGTCCTACAAATCCTGCATGGCAGTTTCTCAGGTAGTTCTCTGAAGTCAGTATTATAATCTGATGAATAGTCCACCTCACAACATGGTCCTGTGGTAGTAGCCTCTGGGAACTGGTTAGAAATGCACATTCTGGAGCCCCACTGCTGATTCTAGCCTATGGATTGGAAATTAGAGGTGAGGCTCAGCAGTCTGTACTTGAGGAAGCCCTCCAGGTGAGTCTGCATGCTAGAGTTTGAGAAACCACTAGAAACTGATTCTCTGAGTGGTATCAATTGATTGGTAACAGCTTTATATTTAACAGTTGTGCATACGTAAACAATACTTGGTACTAGGCTTCTTACTTGACTCTATGTCCGAATTACTTGCAGTATTTTTTTAATCCTCTTGCTTGGATCCATGACAGACTAATTTTATCAGAATCTCTGGCAGTGAGACCTAGATATTAATCTGAAAACCCAAAAGCTGATGTGCTCTAAAATCCAAAACTTTTTGAGCACTGACATGCCTCCATAACTGACCTCAGGTAACAGGTTATCATCATAGACACAGATGCATTACAAATACTATATAAAATTACAATACATGTTGTGATTTTGTATTGTAATAACATGGTATAAAAGAATACATACTGTAACATGTATAATAGTGTAGGCAAGATGTACAGGATATATGTGAAACAAATGGATTTTGTGTTTAGACTTGGGTCTCATACTTCAGGTGACTCATTATGTAAATGTAAATATTCCTTTATCTGAGAAAAAAATCTCAAATCCAAAACCATTACTTGACTCAAGCTTTTCATATAAGGGATGCTCAATCTATACCTTTAAATACGTTTCTTAATTGTAGTGTTTCTATATGACTTAAAATTTGGTTTGAAGACAATGATTAAAGACATATGGCCAATGGGGGTGGGGAAAGAGGTTCTTTTCATATACAATAGCACAGTGCAAAGATTAATATGTTGCTAAGTCTTCTGGAAGGCTGTATTATGGATAGCGATTCTCAACTTCCATAAGCTTGTAGATCCCCTGGGAATCTTGTAGACTCAAGGTGAGGCCTGTGATCTGCTTTTCTCATCAGCTTCTAGGAGCTGCCTGGTGTTTGCAGTACATATGGTTGAAAACAGCCTACCCTGTAGTTTTGGTGTATGTTTCTTAGGTTATTTTTCCTAAATCACTTAGTAGAAGAAGTTGAACTGAATAGGAAGTTTGTTTAACTATCTCATTTCTAAGGACTGCGGTGTTACAGAAGTTACATATTATTCAACTCAGCATTTGACTCAGAAGTAGATTGAGCTGATAAAAATATCTCTTGATCTGAGAAACAAGATGTTTTACATTTGTTTTTTTTTTTTATTAGAACCAGGCAGTTATTTAAAACATGATGAGTCACTTTTTTAAGTTGTAGGGGGAAAAAATGGAGCTGTTTTAGGTGGAAGGCAGCTCCTCAATCTGAAGTGTTTTTAAGGACTCTTGAAGATCTGAACACCCAAACTAGCAAAGAAAAAACATATGTGAGCAGACCTGGGTTTATAAAAAGTGTTTACCCAGATAAATCTAGTATCTACCATGATCTGTACTGTTAAGCAAGGTACAACTTAAAAATGTAGTCATTCCAATGGGGTTGCCAGTCTGGATTCGATTGTCTCACACCAAGGAGACCTTTCTCATACAAGATCAATTATTTTCAGATTGGCCTCTTTGAATGTTGACAGTTTCTACCCTTGTTGAAACTTTTAGTTAGCCACTAAATAACCCAGGATTTCCCACAGTATATAATACTTATGTTTCTAAGAAACAGTTACAGAGATTTTTGGGAATCTGTACATGTCATTAGAGTTTATAAAAGAAGGCTGTGTATGATATCACTGTGGGGTACATGTATAAGTGCAATAGCTTTTAAAAACAGTAATACCAATTAGAGATAATTCTGTAGTATTTCAAGCCAGCTTTTAAAAGCAACTTGCCTAACTAATCTCTTCTCAGGGAAAGTTGAGTAGGAATGAAAACTTTAAGGTCAACAAACTGGATCTCTGCCATGAAAGTGCAGGTGTAAAGATAAGCAACTCCCAAAAGTCCTTTATTTAATAATCTCACTCTGTAAATAACACTTGGTTACTGTTAGCTGTGAGAAGTTTGCTGGTCTACATGACTGAGCTCAACATTCAGAGGTTATTATTGAAATGACAATGATTAAAGCTTTGAAATTGGACTGAGTTTTTTGTTTGTGTTTACAGCAGGTACAAAGAGGTGAGCCATTAATAATAGAAAATTATTCCTGAGAGATAGAACTCATATTCTATCATGCAGACTTGGGTCTTCTCTATTTTGCAGCCAGCTCTGTCCTAAGATGGTCTTGGTTCTCTTATGTGTAAGAATCACTTGGGAACTTTTATAGGATATAGATTCTTAAGCTAGACATGGAATCTGAGAAATTACTACTACAGCAGATTTTGATGCAGAGTGAGGCTTGGAAATAAGTTCAATAATTTTGTGCATTATCTTGTAAAATTCACTCACTACTCCTTAAAAAAATTAAGAGTATAAATCCAAATTCTAGGCAATTTGAAAGTAATAAATTGGGGAACAGGGTGTTTAACTTCCTAATGTCCTAGTCTGGCTAGATAGGACACAGACTGCTGTGAGATGGGTGGCTTCAACAATAAAACATTTGTTTCTCACAGTTCTGGAGGTGGGAAGGGCCAAGACAGAGGTCCCGAGACCTTTGTCCCCAGTTGTTGGAGACTTCTTTATTGTGTGTACATGGCCATTTTGCCGTCCCCACTAGGTAGAAGTGGCAGGGCAGTCTCCAGGGCCTCTTAAGGGTACTAATCCCGTTCATGAGGACTCTACACACAGGACCTCATCACCTCCTGAAGGCCCATCTCAGTACTGTCACCTTGGGGATTGAGTTTCAGCATCAAATGAATTGGGGGAGGGGGCATTGAGCCCATCAGACCTTGGTAGTTTAACAACTTCACTGTATTTTTTTCTCCATCATAACAGTACATTTAAGTTCAGCTTTCATATATTGGTGTAGTTACTTTTAATTAAGTAATAATACTATCTCAATTTAAAAATTTTAATAATGGTATAATTGTCTGCCAATGGAAAACTATGTGATTATAATTAGGGAGCATTCATTTAAGATTTAAAATAATAGTGAATTTTTTCTTTCTCTTTCTTTCTTTCTTTCTTTCTTTCTTTCTTTCTTTCTTTCTTTCTTTCTTTCTTTCTTTCTTTCTTTCTTTCTTTCTTTCTTTCTTTCTTTCCTTCCTTTCCTTCCTTCCTTCCTTTCTTTCTTTTTTTCTTTCTTTCTCTCTCTCTCTCTCTTTCTTTCTTTTTGTCTGCTAGTCCTGGGGTTTGAACTCAAGGTTTGTGCACTATCCTTGAGGGTTTTGTTTTGTTTTTTTACTCAAGGCTAGCGCTCTACCTCTTAAGCCAATTTCCTTTCCATCTTTTTGGTGGTTGATTGGAGTTAAGAGTCTTAGGAACTTTCCTGCCAGGGCTGGCTTTGAACTGCCATCATCAGATCTCAACCTTCTGTGGAGCTAGGATTACAAGTGTGAGCCACCAGTGCCCAGCCAAAATAAATACTTTAGGTGAATAATTTTTGAGTTCTTGTCCTTAGAAATTTCTCCACTTCAGTTCACTTCTGCATCTTTGAGATCTTGGGACCCAGTAGAGATAAATAAGAGGATTTTAAGCCCTCAACATTGTAGTCTCGAAGAAGACTTTATTCAAGAAAATGTAGTTCCTCTGTGCCTTCACATGTTCAGAAGAAAATTCTGACATGATGTAGATATGAAAAAGAACCCAGTATACATAATTTTCAAGATCTCTGACAGTGTGATTTTGTGATTTTTTTTTTTCTTGTAATGTTTTTCATGTAGTTTTTACTTCAGGAAACACATCATGACCACTATATTTATGTGCAAGTCTTTTGAGTATGACTGAAATAAATATTTAACAAAGCAGTGTTACTATGAGGAATGCATACTGAGGTTTTCTTTCTACTTAGTTTTTTATAGATATGCTGGTCATGTCCTACATAACTGGTTTTGTAACCTAGAGCCGCCATTCACAGTAAACACGGGTCTGGTCTGTATTTTTAATGGTCTGATAGCGCCTCCTTGTGGGTATAGCGTCACATAATGGTCAGATTTCTGTTAATAAAAATCAACTGACACTTCCCCAAAAAGGCTAAATTACTTTACATGATTCTATATTTTGTGAAATGAGTTGAATTAAAACTATAAAGATGTTGATCTTTTGCTTCACAATCTTGTTATTGTTCATTCCTTGTGAGAAAACTGTTTTGTTCAGACTTCTTTTCTTCCAAGAGCCTGTATTTTAACAGTCTTTGTATTTGATATTATACCTTTAGGACAGGGTAACCTTCAGGAGAATAATTGTCAAAAACAATGCCAAAAAGAGAAAAATGTATGAAAGCTTTATTGAGTCACTGCCATTCCTTAAATCATTGGAGGTAAGTACATGTTTACTCTGTTCTGCCTTAAAAGCTTGTTTTGCTATCAAGAGTTAGTTCTACAGAAAAGTTTTCTTAATTAAAATTGATCGTTATTTTCAAGCTAAAAGAATAAATGGTGGTGCTGTGTTAATAACTCATGTATTTCTTTTACTTCCTTATAAGTGCTTTTGCTTTTTGTTACTTAGTACAAGATCCATAGCAAATTTGTATGTGGTTTATAACTAGTAGTAGACTTAAAACAATCATGTCAATGTCTGCTGGAGCTACTTAATTACATGTTACAGGGGGGAGTTATTTAGTTATCTAAACACAACTTCCTTCCTGTTTTTCTTTTCTTTCTTTCTTTTTCTCTTCCTTTCTTTTCTTTTCTTCTTTTTTGGCATGGGAATTGGAGCTTGAATTCAGGGACAGAGTGCTTTTTTCTTTTTCTTTTTTTTTTTTCTTCTCAAGATTGGTGCTGTACTACTTGAGCCATACCTCCACTTCTGCTTTTTGCAGGTTAATTGGAGATAAGAGTCACGGATTTTTCTGCTTGGACTGTCTTTGAACTGCAATCCTAGCTCTCAGCCCTAAGTAGCTCGGATTACAGCCAGAGCCACTGGCACCAAACTTTGTCTCCCGGTTTACTCTTCTTTCCTCTTTACATTTGTATTCAAAGCTTCTGGCTATCTTTTCTCAAGCTACACTTTAACTTGGTGAACTTGTCAAATCCTGTGCTTAAATACTGGTACCTCCTACAATCAGACATCATCCTCAACTGCTTATTTAATGTCTCCTGTCACATCTCATAAACATTTCAAAATTAGCTCACACCAAACCTCCTCCTCAGTTTTCTTCCCTATCACAGTAGTTGGCAACAACATTCTTCCAGTGTTCAGGCCAGAAACCTAGCAGTTACCACTTACTTGGCTGTTTGCCCCTCCCATGCCTACCTGCCAGTAATGTTCCTTGCCCTGTCTTCAAGACACTTCCAGCGTCTGATCTTTTCCTACTCACATCACCAGCCTCACCTCCTGTCTGAGCTGTCATCACCTCTTGCCTGAATTGTACCAGATACCAGCAGAATCCTTTGTAAGTGTTGATTATGGCAGTCACGTGTTTAAGATCCTGCTCACAGGTCTCTAAGGCACTGTAGTGAGGGGTGTTCCCTCCCTGTGCCCTCTTACCCCATTTCCTACAGTTCCATACTGGTCCTACTAGAGTCACACCAGCTTCCCCCTGTTTCTCAATTTCAAACCTGTGTGCTTTGCCATCTGCCTAGAATATTCTCTTGAACAATCCCTGCCTCATTCCCTCATCGCCTCCAGTTTTTAGCCCAGATGTCTTCTGAATTAAGACCAGCTGCTAGAGTTTTATCTTTGAAGGAATAAACTTATGAGAGTTGTTAGCCTAAAAACCCAGCTTTACCTGTCATACCTCATTGTTAAACTCTGTTGTCTAGACAGTGTAGTCTTATACATGAAACATGTTGAAAGTAATTAGAGAAGGGCACAGTATGTGCCTACAAAGGTCTTATAAAGTGGCAAATGTCAACACAGTGGTGTTTTTCCTTTCTAATGCCCCTTTTGAGTTGTGAGTTTATGCCTGGTAGGATGTTGGCCTCATTACAGAATGCATGTTAGACAGCTGAGCTTCGCCAGCAATGCTATCTCCTTAAATAGAAATAGTTCAGGGGTGGAAACCCAACCCTTGCAGAGCTAGGCAAATTGACATAAAGACGGAAAGCAAGCCAGGAAGGGACTATGATGAACTAGAGACCATGTGCTCCATCTAAAGAAACAGCTGCCATTACCACAGCTTTGTTGTTGCCATTTGGAAATTTGGGCTGGGGTTGCTGAGTTGTCTTATAATTTGAGGGAGGCTGGAAATAACAAAAATTTTACTTCAAAATGCTAGCTGTTAAGTAATGTAGCAATCAAATATACAGCTCACATACTGCTTAATTTATTAGCCCATAGGCTACCATGTTTTAATCTATAAACTAGGTAGATTACCCAGCTAGTCTATTTCTTTTTAATAACCTTTATTTTTTCCTTGTAGGTTTCAGAACGCCTAAAAGTGGTAGATGTGATAGGCACCAAAGTTTACAATGATGGAGAACAAATCATTGCTCAGGTATTTGTAAATGTAATTCAGTTAAAGGTCTTTATTAATATGTAGCAGTGGAGAAACTATTATTCTATCAGATGATCTATTAAAATGGTTTAGTTTACAGCCATTAAACTATTTAAATATTTTTGTTTATGGGCAGGGAATATGGCTTAGTGGTAGAATGCTTGTCTAGCATGCATGAGGCCCTGGGTTTGATTCCTCAGTACCACATAAACAGAAAAAGCTGGAAGTGGTGTTATGGTTCAAGTGGTAGAGTACTAGCCTTGAGTAAAAGAAGCTCAGGGACAGTGCCCAGGCCCTGACTTCAAGCCTCAGGAATGACAAAAGAAATATTGTTTATATAACCCTAAACCCTCAACTGGCTTTCTTCATCATTTTGTAATATGTGACACGAAATTCATTTTTACATAATAAGCTGTCAATTATAAGAGGAAATCAGTGGATGGTCCATGAGGTAACAAAACCCACAAGTCCATTAGGAGATTCTGCAGAGGTCAGCATGACTGCTCCATGAGGAAACTCCCAAGGCTGCTGCTAGACAACATTCACCAAGAAGGAGACACAGCGCCCCATTTCCTCTATGGCTTCCAAGCACAAAATGTGCTCACTAAGCCTGTTCTTGAACCCCTGATGCTTTTCTAAGATCCCCATTGGAATCAAGGGTATTACACACCTCCATGGTCCAAAGGGCTGCCAAAGTAGGAGTTATGAAAGTTGGAATTCACAGGTAAAGCAGGAGAGTTTAGAAGTATAAGTACATATCAAATGAACTTCCAATAGATAATGTAGTTTTTATATCATAATATTACAGTGTATTATCTGAATTATTGCTTCTTTATCTGGGAATGAGAGTCAAGATCTGTGGCAGTGAGGAAAAACATCATTGTCTAGAAGGCACATAAGTAAATCTCTCAACCAGCCACATGTGTATGTGTGTCTCCATTTCTGTATCTGCTCGTATATATATGGATTAGAGCAGTCAGGGCTATGGTTATATCATAGGAACTATCATATAGTCAAGTACAGAGCACTTCTTAAATGCTTGTGTTTATTTGTTGTGGTGGTGGGTTGGTGTTGGGACTGACCTTAAGGTCTCATGCATGCTAAGCATGTGTGCTACCACCCAGTTACACCCCCCTAGTCTCTTAAAATACTGTTTATATAAAACCTTTTAATTTTGAAACATAGATGGACAAGAAGTTGGAAAAATAGATCTGAAGGTTCCCAAGCACTTTTCACCCAGTTCTCCAGTGCATCTTGCATCACTGTTGTACAATACCAAAACCAGGACATTGACATTGACACTGCCTACAAACTTCATTTAGATGTCGCCACTTTTACAGACATTTGGAGCACATTTACACAACAGCCAATAGACCTATTATGACTTATAACACTTGGAAATTCAGCATGAAGCTTTTATAAAAACTTGATAGAGAGCCAGGTACCAGTAGCGCCTGTACTCCTAGCTATGCAGGAGAGTAAGATCTGAGAATCATGGTTTGAAGCAAGCCTGGGCAGAAAAGTCCCTGTGAGACTCTTATCTCTGATTAACTATTCAAAAATTGGAAGTGGGGCTGTGGCTCAAAATGGTAGAGCACTAACCTTGAGGAAAACCTCAGAGACAGCACCCAGACCCTGAGTTCAAGCCCCACAGCTGAGGTTTTTTTTTTTAATTAAAAAAATAAACGACAGAAAAATGGAGGAGGAAACTGAGAGTCTAGCTGTGATTGAATGTGTTTAGCATGCATGAGGCCCTAGCATTAAAATGAAAAGATGCTGTATTTAATAATTAAAGGTATTTGTGTATAGTTTGTTACTTTTAAGCTTTTGTAAATATGTGTATGTACTACATTTTAGAAATCTAGAGTCATCATTTATTTTTATGAGACAAACCTGTTTGTTTTTGTTTTTCTGTACTGGTAGAAGACCCAGAGCCTAGGCAGGATAATTGTGATATAATAGATGCTGTTTTTTATTTATACTAGAGTTTTGAAATACCTGTTTTTTCCTAGAGTCTCTCTGAGAGGCCAAGTTTTAAAATCTATCTTTTCACATAGAATACTGCTTACTTTTTTTTGGGGGGGGGGGGGTCCGGTCGTGGGGCCTGAACTCTGGGCTTGGGCACTGTCCCTCAGCTCTTCAGCTCAAGGCGAGCGCTCTACCACTTGAGCCACAGCACCACTTCCGGCTTTTTTCTTTTTTTTTGCTTATGTGGTGCTGAGGAATCGAACCCAGGGCCTCATGCATGCAAGGCAAGCACTCTACCGTTGAGCCACCTTCCCAGCCCCTGCTTATTTTTTTTAAAAGAACCATTAGAGGGTCTGGGAAGGTGTCTCAGTGGTAGAGTGCTTGCCTTGCATACATGAGGTCCTGGTTTTGATTCCTCAGCACCACATAAGCAGAAAAAGCCGGAAGTGGCACTATGGCTCAAGTGGTAGAGCGTTAGCCTTGAGCTGAAGAGCTGAGGAACAGTGTCCAGGCCCAGAATTCAGGCCCCACAACCGGGGGGGTGGGGGGGGGGGGGGAGAACCATTAGAAATCAAGGCAGAATTTTTGTAAAGCAAAATCAAGAATTGCATATGTGGGGGCTGGGAAGGTGGCTCAGTGGTAGAGCGCTTGCCTTGCATGCATGAGGCCCTGGGTTCGATTCCTCAGCACCACATAAGCAAAAAGAAAAAAAGCCGGAAGTGGCACTGTGGCTCAAGTGGTAGAGCGCTAGCCTTGAGCTGAAGAGCTGAGGGACAGCGCCCAGGCCGAGTTCAGGCCCCACAACTGGACCCAAAAAAAAAAAAAAAGAATTGCATATGTGGTTAGAAATGGGACCACTCTTTAGGATTATAGGTCTTTTCAAAGATTGTTGGTGGATAGTCAATATTCTGGCACCTCAGAGTTTAGTCCTTAACTGCAGTAAAAACTTCAAGGCCCACATCTATACTACTCAAGACTCCAGACTTCCAAGGCCTGCATCTATACCTCCTAATATACCTGGCTGCTTGCTTTCTGTTCTTTTGAGTCCATGGTTACCATAGGTTACCATACCAGTGCTTGTTACTTTCGGGGGACATAGCAGGGCTCAGGAATCAGGGATATACTCCTGCTAACAGGAGAGATGCTGCCAGGATAGGAAGCAAAGTATTGTTGCCAGTTCAAACTACATATACTGTTACCCTGGCCAAAATCTGAGGGAGGTTCTTATCCTAGTGTTATTTGCCATATTTTCTTAGCTTTTAGCAGACATGTTGTGGTAAAGACTATATTATTTCAAATAATTTTACAAATAAAACTGTTAATATAATTAAGAATCCTAACCTCTTAAATCAGAGAAGGAAATAGCCTCTTCACCTGGGTATCACTTTTCAGGCTGATTTCAAGAACATGATTTCAGGATCGCTGTCAAATTTGCATTTTCACCATTGTTTTTGGTTGTTCTGTGTTTTTTTTTCTCATAGGGAGATTTGGCTGATTCTTTTTTTATTGTAGAATCTGGAGAAGTGAAAATTACTATGAAAAGAAAGGTAAGTGTTCTTAAGTCCACCTAATATTAGTAAGCAATAAAATAGATTTTGTTTCTTAGACTAAGCTTAACTTCTCTTTTCATAAGTGGAGTAAAAGCTACTGTTTTTAAGCTGGCACTGATGATTTATATCTATAATCCTAGCTACTCAGGAGACCAAGATCTGAGGATCATGGTTCAAAGCCAACCCTAGCAGACAAGTCCACGAGACTCTTCTCTGTAATTAACCAGCAAAAAGCTAGAACTAGAGGTGTAGATCAAGTGGAAGGATGCAAGAAATCAGCAAAACAGCAGAGTGAGGAATTGCACGGAATGCAAGGCCAGGATTTCAGGCCACAGTATCTACACACACACACACACAGACACACACCACCACCCCCCACCACCACCCCCCACCCCACACCCTCATATTTTTTCTTACCTCTACAGGGTAAATCAGAAGTAGAGGAGAACGGGAACGGTGCTGTAGAAATCGCCCGATGTTCTCGGGGACAGTACTTTGGAGAGCTTGCCTTGGTAACAAACAAACCCCGAGCAGCTTCTGCGCATGCCATTGGAACTGTGAAGTGCTTAGGTAAGGATTGAAACAGTGGTCACTGTCTTCAGTTTATGTGTTCATATTGCATGGATCATGTTGATTGGGTTCACAAGAACTATGCTCCCCCAGAAGAGACCAAAGTTAGGACTTGTGGCGTTATATGTTTATGAGAACTGTTTTTCTTTAAGAAGTTTTATGTCCATCTTGTTTTATATGTGTATGAATGCATTTAATAATTGAAATAAGAATTCCAAGTACCAGTTTTCTATGTAAAATGTCAAATAAATAACATGTGCTATGTTCTTCAAAAGACAAGATTAAGGTAATGTGTTTGTAAAGTTCCTTCATAAGCACTGGAGTGAAATTGAATACACATGGGCAAGCACAGAGACCCAGAGTCCAGCTTGTTGAAGACTCCAGTGTCTGCTGTTCAGCTGTTTATTACTTTCTTTTACCAAAAGAGCTTGGCAGAAATGCTGTTTTCACCTGGAAGACATATTTATGTATCTGATTTTGGGACAAATCATTTGTCTTGGTAATGAAAAATGTAATTCAGCAAATGGCATTTTCAATAAAACAAATCCCACAGTAATTCGCCTCTCCAGGCTCTTCACCCATAATTCAACAAGATTAACTTAGTTGCAATGTTCTTAAAATTTGCAAAGATCTCCAGAATTAACTTCTTAGAGTGGCCAGTTTTAAAAAGGTTTTAAATAAGTATAATATACTTGGTGAAGACTTAGGGACTGACAGGCAATTTTCCCTCAGAAGAGCTAGTATGAGTAACAATGATGGCAGTGAAATTATCTTGATACTTACCCACATATTAAAAAGAACCTGAGGAATATAGAAAATATTGGAAAAAATAAGATTTGTCCACACCATGACCACCACTTTGTAATTGTTACTATAATTGCTTTTTGCTTTCATTTATATAGATTTTCTGTTTTGAAAAGTTTTGTAAGCTAGGCGCCATTGGCTCACCTATAATCTAGCCACTCAGGAGTCTGAGACTGGGAAGGAAAGCCTGTGAGACAATTTATCTCCAACTACCTACCTTGCCTTGGGCAAAAAAAGCTCAAGGATAGCACGTAGGCCCTGAGTTCAACCCCTAGGACTGACTGGCACCAAAGACAAAAATTGTAAACAACTTTGCTCAACCAATGATAGCCTATAGAAATTTCCTTATCAACATTCCTTACCTAACATTGTTAGGTAAATACGTACATCATAAATTACTTGATGTCCTCTGGAAAATATTTTGTGGATTTTGACTATGTACTTACATGTGTGTGTCAGTGTATGTGCATGTGCACACATGCACACACATATAGATGACCTTTCCACAGATAAGATTTTTCTTAAAGTGTACTTCAGAAGCAGGTTTTTTGCTAATTTTTGATACACAGTTTGTACTGGTTTACATGCTGCCAGAAGGGTAAGATTGCCCATTCACCCCATCCTTATAAATTACCTTTGTAAATTTGATGGGCAAAAGGATTTTAGGCTATGAAAGACAGTACATATATAAATTCAGTTTTAAAATGCACAGGACAGGCAAGCAAAGTGAAAAATACCATATATTTATAGTAGACAAAGCAGTGTATTGACTGCCATCTTGAATTGTATAGAAAGTATTTGAATAAGAGTGTTAAGTTTTATGAAAATTTAATTCTGAGAATAGGAAACATTCCCTTGCCACTTTGGGGTGTTTCTATGACTATAGACATCAAAATTATTTTTTTGATGATGGTCCTTGGGCTTGAACTCAGGGCCAGGATACTGTCCCTGAGCTTTTGTGTTCAAGGCCACTGCTCTACTACTTGAGCCACAGCATCAGTTCTGGCTTTTTTTGGTAGTTAATTGGAGATGAGACTCATGGACTTTTCCTGCCCAGGCTGGCTTTGAACCATGAACCTCAGATCTCAGCCTCCTGAGTAGCTAGGACTATAAGTGTGAGCCACTGGCACTTGGCCAAAGTTTATTTTTAAAAGTTCCCATATCCTAGTATCAGCCCTCCGGCCACCTTGGCTTTTCTTACCATCTGCCAAAGGACCTGAGAATGGCTGAGGGTGGCCCCGTATGCTTCTTTTTTGAAGTAGACTATTAATCTTTAATGTTTTTCTTGTATTTTACAATACTTACAACTAAAAATACTTTGCACTATTGATGTGCCACAATTGCTATATGATAATGGATGATGATAGTAGAATGGATATTCTGACTGAGCTTTTAATATGGCAAATATTATTAAATTTATTCTTTCCTTATCATAGCCATGGATGTGCAAGCATTTGAAAGGCTTTTGGGACCTTGCATGGAAATTATGAAAAGGAACATCGCCACCTATGAAGAGCAGTTAGTTGCCCTGTTTGGAACAAACATGGATATTGTTGAACCCACTGCATGAAGCAAAAGTATGAAGCAAGAAGACCTATAGTGAAAAATTAACACAGTAGTGGTTAGTCCACTGAGGATGTGTTTGTGTAGATGCCAAGCATTTTCTGTGATTTCAGGTTTTTTCCTTTTTTTACATTTACAATGTATCTGTAAACAGTAGTGATTTAATAATCAATAGGCTTTAACATCACTTTCTAATGAGTAGTTCATAAAAAAAAATATTGATAAAATGACTTTCTACTCCACAAAATTTGACTGAAAGTTTTATTCCGATGATTGTAATATATTGAAAGAATTCATGTTTAAGAAGATTAAAAGACATTATTATAGGCAATATGTGTTTGACTTACTCAAGTTGATACCCCACCCGTGACAGTGCCCATGTTGGAGGGAACTTGGCAATGACTCATGCTACCCAGCATGGCATCGCATTCTTTTTATAACTCATTATGTATAGCAAAGTTTCAGTCATTCTCATTTTAAAGTTTTTTCTGGCTTGTGTGTTATGTGTTGGCCTTGGTCTATTGGTAAAATGGTATGAAACATATGCAATTTTTAAATTTTTTATATTTTTGCAATAAAGTACATTTTGACTTCTTGACATAATGTCAGTAACATACTCCAGTAGTTTTAAGGACTGGCAATTTAGTCATGATAATAGGTAGATGAAAGATAATGTATATCTTGCTTCTTTTCTTCATTCTGTATCTCCCGTATTCTCTAGCTTTAGAAGCTTGATTTGGACAATGAGTCCAAAGACTTGGAGTCTTCTCTTCAAAGCTTAAACTTGTTAAATCTGACATTTTTCATCTTCTAAAAGGTCTTATACTTAACATATTTGGGACTGTTTTATCTTTATGCCCACAGATACTTCTGTGTTCCTCAGCAGGCCTAAGTGGCACTGTCTCTGGCACACATGTGCCCATGTTTTTCTGTTCTCTGGCTGCCAACTGCAGTGTCACTCATTGATAGCCCATGAGGTTTGGTTGGCCTTTTACTCATGAAAAACTTGTTGACAGTAGTAGAAATAATTTTTGTAAGCTATGTATATTAATAAAATGAATTGCTGTTATTCCACATACACCATAAGTATGGAAAACTTAAAATGTACTCATTGCATTTGACTGCTTATATGCTTATTCTGCCAAATAAAAGTGGATTTTAGTTTTATCCAACCAAAGCAATATACTCAACATGATTTTAGACCCTGTGACAAAATGTATAGACACATTAATTCTACCCATTGCTTTAAATGAGTAATTTCATTGTGGGAAACACATCTTAGAACATATACAACATACAGGCATTCACATGGGAAAAATTAATCTGTGGCTGTTTTGGTCTTATTAGAGAATGTGTATGGACTTATACCTGAAAATATGGCTAGATGTTAATCGGATAATGTATATACAACAAGTTAATGTAAACTAACTTCAGCCACATTTTAAGAGTATTTAACATTTTTACAAAATCTATTAGTAAAAGGGAAGTCTATATGAAGACTCGTTTTCTATTTTACATTTATTTGAAAAGTCATGTCTGTTAAGAAAAAAACTCCCAAGTTCCTAGTTCATCAATTTGTATTATTTTTTTGTTGTATAAGCTGATGGTTAACTATCCACAGAACAGTAAAAACATGCCTATTTAATAAAGAACTTTGACCAAGGCTGTAAATACCAATTATGTTATTTTCAGTATTGTTGGTTATATTTAAATTTTCCTTATAATAAAGCACACTTTTATAGTAAAACACTCTATCTGTTTTTAATACTTTTCCTCCCACTAATAGGACTTAGGTAGTACATAAATGTGATCAAGAGTGTGATGAGATGTAATCCCCATAGCCTAATGGCACAAGATTTTACACAAGAACAGGTTTGTCTATTAAGATTTTTAACTGTTAGTCATATGTGAGAGAAATAGTGTATGTTGTAGATTAATTTGACTAAGGAGTTTATGTGTAAAATTAATTTGTTAAAATTAATTAAAACAGTCCATAAATCAAAAGTCCATACTACTTGGGATTAAAAAAATTCTTTTTCCAGTTTCAACTTGGCCTCCCATTTGCTCAGCTTCTTGCTGGGCTGGTACTCTGCCACTTAAGCTATACCTCATCCTGGCTTTTTTGTGGTTAATTTGAGATGGAGTCTAGGCAAGAAAGTCCGTGAGACTCTTGTCTCCAATTACCTACCCTAAAGCAGAAAGTAGGACAGAAGGCCTCTAGTGGTAGGGCTCCTGCACTGAGGGGAAAAGCTAAAAGACAGTGTCCAGGCCATGAGTTCAAGCCCTAGTTACTCCACTATCTGCCCCCCCTAAAAAAAATTGCAGCCAGTCACCTACCTACTGAATAGGGTGAGTTCTGATGATAGCAGTTCAAAGACAAGCCTGAGCAGATAAATCTTTGGGATTCTTTATCTCCAAATAATGAACAAAAAGCCAGACACGGAAGCATGGCTCATCTGAGTGAAGAGTGTCTGCCTTGCACGTTTGAACCCGAGGTCAAGCCCCAATACCACCAAAGAAAAAATGCAGCATTCTTTCCCTTTCCAAAGAATCTCAAAAAACAAATATTTTTACTAACTTTTTGAAGAAAAATTATATTACAAGGATTAGATGACCTTCAACAACTTGAAAATAATGTGTAGAGTTAGATGTATGGGTAAAGCCAAAGCTTTATAAAATAGGAGAGGGAATTGCTCTATCAAAGTAAATGTTAACCCGGGGAGAAAATAAGAGTTGTAGCTTTTGAAACTAAAAGTACTAAGAGTTACAGCCTGATGTTGAATATCACTGATTTAACAAAAAAAAAAAAAAAAAAGGAAATCTTGAAATGAGATTTTGAGATAAACCTCCAGATACTTCTAAGGCAGCAAAAATGGTTGTGCAATAAAAACATACATAGCTGTTCATCTTCACACGTACTTACAACTGTTACAAACATAATGAATTATGAAAATGTCAGCAGTAAAGTACACCAGTTATTTACAGAGAAGACTTGTGTGCTCAACAAAACTCATGAAAATATAAATTGGTTCAATTTCTATACCAAGGGGAATCCATCATCAAAACTGTTAACGTTGTGAGTTGTTGGGAATTAAAATCTCTTGGTTTCTGGTCAAATTTTTGGCATGTTTCCAACTAATTAGCTTACTATAAAATTCGTATGATGTTTCTGAATCAGTGAGACAATTTTGAGAGAACTTTTTATTAGTCCAACAAATTGCATCTGCATACTCAAGCCTATAAATCTAAAATTGCCTTGAAAATTCAGAAGTATATCTCTTCTGTATATAGGAAAATTTGAAGATGCATGATAGGAATTAATTATAAAAAATGAAATGCCACCTATATGGGAGGTTGTTTTCTTTATACAGTTTTCTTGATATTGGTAGGCAAAACTGCCATGTGCTGATGGCTCATGCTTGTAATCCTAGATCTCAGGAAGCTGAGATCTGAGGTCTGAGATTCACAAGTTGAAGCCAGCCTGGGCAGAAAAGTCCATGACACTCATCTCCAATTAACCACCAAGACGCTGGAAGTGGAGTATGGTTCAAGCAGTAAAATGCCATGCCAACCTTGAGTAAACAAGCAAAATGTAACATATGAAATAAACTTGAGTTTAGACCAACTGTACTACAGTAAGTTAATGTCTTCCTAAAAACTCTTAATCAGAAAATAAAAAAGCTTTCTTCCAGGCACAAGGGAAAATTTAAGTGCAAGTTGGAAGTAGCCTCAAATCACAAAACTATATAAGGTCCTTGTAGCAACTTGGGACTACAATTTTGTAATGTTTTCTTTTTAGTGATGGAAAAGTTTACAAACTAAAATTCTTGAAAGGCTTTATGAGCCATCCAAACCTTGTATTAATATCTTCTAATTATTCAGTGTCCATTTTTGTTCTAATTGGATACCTATCTTCTTGCTGAGCAGCAAGACAATCTCCAATTAACCAGCAAAAAGCTGGAACATGAGGCCTGGCTCACGAGGCAGAAGCACCAGCCTTGAGCAAAAGTCAGAGAAGAGCACAAAACGTCTTTCTTCCCCCAAGAGACTGTTTCCTGAATTTCTTTCCTTAGACCTGGATGTCTTAAAGTCAGATGAGTGCATTCAGATGTCTACTTAACCCTTGTGCTCATATTTCCTGGTTGCACAGCAAGCTTATACCATTTAAATTTGAACTCATCCTTTCCCATCCCCCTCAGTCTCCAAATTTATTCTAATATTTCCTGTTTCAATTACATCAGTATACCCCAGTTACACCAGAAGTCCAGCAATCATTTTTTATTGTGAACATACTGTACAGAGGGGTTACAATTACATGGGCAAGATAATGAGTACATTTCCTATCAAGCATTGTAGCCTCCTTTGTTTATCCTTCACATCCCTTCCCAGCCTCCCACCCCCCCCCAACCCTCCCCCCCCCAAAGTTGTAAAGTTCCGTTTTCGACATGACAAGTACTTCTCATTGCTGCAAGGGTCCACCTGTATCCTTATTTAAATGACTTGTTTTCCCCTTCCCCTCCACAAATTATACCGACATCAAATACAGTGAAAGCAGGGGTTATACTGTGGGGGAGGGCCAGCAATCATTCTTGACTCCTTCCTTTTTGAACCACTGAGTCTTCCTCCTGGGACAGTGTTAAGACACCCACCTATCAGTCCACTTAAGAAAGGTCTTGCTTTAACAGTTATCTGAGCAAAATGTGAACATTAAGTTGTAAAACCAAGAGCCATATTGTTGCTCAGTTCTGAAATGACACTCATTAGCTCCCAGGCATTTCATTACAACTTGAGTTTATCTGATTAATTTTAACTAAGTTAATTATAAGAATTAATTTCCAAGTATAGTAAGCTATATTAAAAGAGATCTGTGAGAGTTTAAATTACCTACCGAGAGACTAAAATGTTTGGGCACTAACTGTTTTACACTATACCTACTCTACTTCCAAATTTTAGTATTTGAGTGATTTTATCTATTGAAAATTTGCACTCTGTGTGTGTGTGTGTGTGTGTGTGTGTGTGTGTGTGTGCGAAGCTTGAACTTGGGGCCTGGGATTCCCTAAGATTCTTTTGTTTAAGACTAGCATTCTGCCACTTGAGCCACAGCTCCACTTCAAGCTTTTAGGTGGTTATTTGGAGTAAGAATATCACAGACTTTCCTGTCCAGACTGGCTTCAAACCATGATCCTCAGATCTCAGCCTTGGATTACAGGCATGAGCCACTGATACCCAGCTTGTATAGTGATATTCTCAACCTTCAGGCAAACTTCATTATGCTGCTACTTCCTACGTTTTAGTCAAGTAGTCACTAGTAAGTTAGATATGGTGGAATCAAGGGAAATTGTTTAGTTTCATCTCTAAAGAGGTGAAATACATCCTAAATAGGATGTCTTAATTATTTTTCTTTCTTCAAAAAATTACAAGTTGGTATTTATGAAAAACTAAACTTTTAAAAAAAACTGCTGAAAGACATTTTCATTTGAGAAGGCAATTTCTTGACATATCTTGGTATAGATTTTATGCATGCATGTATATATCATATTCATCACACTAATCAAGAAGAGGTGAACACCTATGATCCCACATACCCAGGAGGCATAGTTAAGAGGATCACTATACAGGCCAGCTTAGGAAAAACGTAAGACCCTACTCAAAAAATGAGTAAATCAATAAAAACTAGAAGTGTGACTGAAGTGGTAGAATGCCTGCCTTATAAACCTTAGCCTGAGTTCTTTTGGCAGTCACTTTATAAGATATAAACTCAAGTCTTTCATCCTTGGAAATACTAGGCATTTTGGTGGAACTCTTTTGAATTATTTTTGGTTTGCTTTATCTTTCTTTATCCCTTTTTGAATTATTTTGAGAAACAAAATGTTTGATTTCTATTTATGAATGGGCACAAGAAGGTTAAACCTTTCCTCACACAGTAGGGAGGAAGGACTATTTTATCCTTAACTTTCACTTCAGGGATTCCAATGGAGATCCCCTAAAGGAATAGGAGCTCTGGTTTCAACATATGGAGATTATTTTGGAATTCTTGATTTTTGCTACATGGTACT